GTCACTAGGCAGACCTTACCAAGATGGCTGTCCAAAAGGTTGCGTGGGCTTACCCAGGCAAGATGGCGGCACGTGTGCGCATGCGCCTTACCTCCAACTGGCGGTTAGCACAAAATGGCTGACCGCTCATACGTTTTTCACACCGAAAGTGTTAAAAACGCCGCTAAATCAACTCGGCCGAAGCGGAGCTTTATCCCGCGGGAACTAGCGGATTTGTGACACAGATTCACAGTGTCAGTCGAGTTTCAGCTGGCGGGTAGCTACTCCGTTTAGCTGAAATCGAGAACTAAACCTTAGCAGCTGGGCATGCTAAGCTAGCGGGGCCTGTTAGCTAAACAGGACTTTGCGGTCTAATTCTGTCATAGAACTGACCGGTCCGAATAACCCAACGTCCGTGACTCGTTCGCGTTAATATTTCGGACAAATTAGCATATGCAGTTCGTGCTGCAGTGACGCTGTTCTGTTTTAAATGCTTATGATGACTGTCGCAATTGTTGCTAGTCAAGCTACGGAAATTACCAGTTCCGGCAATCACTCGGTAGCTGAGGAAGCTAAGCTTCCGGTGGAGAAGTTCTTTATCTCTGTACTCAAGAATAATACACAGTGTCACCAAACACTCCGAAAGACGTGACAGAGTCACACAGATTAAAATAGACAGTGACACGAAGTTCACTCAGAAAAGACATAAAACATGTATTTACGTTAAAGATGACAGCAGGAAAAACTTGTGCTTTAGCTTAAAACTCCAATATGGCTTGAGCTGACGTCAGCCTTAAATGATTTGAGATGAATCAGCGCCTCCTGTGGGAGGTGAACAGTGTCACTCCCCATTTTGACTTTAAATGGAGATGCTGCACTCTAGTGGTGCTGCACTCTAGTGGTGGATTACAAGATCGTCCCGTTTTCAACCAGAAACATCAAATTTTGAGTGTTTGACTGTTTAAAAATGTCTCAGAATGAGCACGGTGTCAAAAATGTACAAATATCTGGCAAAATGGCTCGCCACTATGTAATAATTTAATTTACATCTATTTAATGAACCATAAGACATGAGATTCCATAGTAAATATGAAATCAATCTTATGGATCTTTGGGTACTTTTAACCAGAAGATTGGAACTTTTTATTGCAGGGATTATGTAACACTTCGTATTCACCCAGAGACAAAAGAAAGAGTCAAGTTTTAAAAGTTTAAAGATTTATTACTAAACAAATTAAAACTAGACTAACTTTAAACACTAAATGTGTGGTGTCACTAAGGTGAATTGAGACGGAGAATGGTGTAGTGTGGAATGTTGTTCAGAACCAGCAAATCCAGAGAAACGATTAGTTCTGATGGGAGTGAAGGTGATGTCTTCGCGCTAAGCTTTGATTTGGAGATTCATAACCCACATTGCGACGCCTTTCTGTCGGCCTACGTACCCTTTCGGAAGTCCCCGTTAGATCAGGAATGTCGAGGTCCAGCTTGACCCTCTCTGGAACCGAAGCCGGTAGGAAAAGCAGCGGTTGCCTGCAACCTTCTGATTACGGGGCGAGCACTTAACTCCTGTGCCACCGTCGCCCCAAGAAATGTTGAAGATGCTGAAATGTTCATCTACACATCGGATTTAAAAAAGCTCAATCACCACAAGCTGCTCAAATAAGAATATGGCATTTTGGAAGGAAACACCAAGTGATTCTGTCCCCTCTCCTGGACACTGTTCACTCAGACTCTTGGAGCTCAACTCTTGCTTGGTTTGAACGGTGTAATCCGCAAGAGTAATTCTAGTAAATAAAAGACAAGGCCAGCAGGCTGTTTTTCTCCGAGCTGGCAGAATTAACAAACTAGGAGTGCTGGACACAATACTGCTGGGTATTCAGTAAAGCCCATCCCATCCACTAAATAAGAAGGGATGTAAGGATTAGAGCAGCTGTATCAAAGCCAGCTGGAGACCTGATGTACATGCGTGCTCATATGATGCTATTATGCTAACATTGCAGTATGCAGATATTTGCAAGACTTGAAGTTTGAGACTTAAAGGGACACTTTGCAACTTTTTCATATTTTTAAAGGATTTTCTTGTTTCTGGTGGCGGGCTGCTCTGTTGGGACTTAGAAAAAATTGAGCGGGCATACCTGGCGCTGCAGTCTGGTGCCAGCATGTTTCCTGCATGTTTTAGATTTTGAACACAGTTGATTTGTTTACAGGAGTGATTCATCACTAAATTAGACACCAAGGAAGGCTGGGGAGACATTTCAGCTGTTAGATTAAGAGCGAGGAGATGGATTTTGCTTTTGGTTCTACAAACAGACACTAGGGGGTGCTGAAAGCAAGCCAAACCTGCCTAGTCTCCCCTTAATGAAAAAAAAAATAAACATCTGAATTTCAATACTGTTGGATGAGAATAGTTGCTGACTGACATTTCAGAAAATCAGCTTTAATAAAGCACCAGCACTGAGGACATTTCAATTACAAAAAGACAATAACTCAAAACATTAAATTCACATTGAAATGAGTCCCTTTGTGCTGCATTCTTCCATATTCCAATGGGCCCTACGAAGGTGGTTGTGCTGACACTGGCAAATGCTCAAATGATAGTCAGCGGTTCATAATTATGAGATGACTTTAGATTCAATGTGACAGAAATACTCAAAAGTCCAATTGTCTTTCACAACTGAGCAGTCACCCCTGAAATCCATTGGATAAAGGTGGTTTCACTTCATCCCTCAGAGGCTTTGCATCACTTAGAGAGCTGTAGAAGCCAAGCATATTGTCTGTTGGACTTGCTTACCTCTGTCCTTAGGACTCAGCAACTGGGAGTTTGAATCCCAAAACCCTGCTGGTAATCTTCATCTTTTCCTTTCCTGTACTACATTTAAAATAAATGTCTTTAGTGTCATAGAGGACCTGAAACTAGATGCAAAATGGTTCAATACAAGCAAAGATGCGCATGTTCAGTAACGACTCTGTTTCTCCTCTTGGCAAAGAAAAGGAAAGAAAGGATGAAAACACAAAGAGAAAGCATGGATGTTGGCACGTCACAAATGCATTTGGCTCTTGTCATTTTAAACAACTGAACCTGCAATTTTCCATGATTTATGTTCTCTTGGATTTATGGCCTTCTGCCAATAAGAATATCCATGTTGTAATGTGACATGCGATCAGGAGTCGGTCTGAACTGGGCGGTTCATTTTGAAACCGACTTGATTGTCTTCGGCATTTCTTTCACGGAGGATGAGACTCAAAGAGTCGAGGGGATTTATCTCTTTAATCATAGGCAGGAAGTCTGAATGCTGACACAATTTATCTTATGGCATTACTAGGATCCAAAACTTGATTTCACCTTCTCATCACACTTGGTTTTGTGTCCTTTAGGTGGCTTGTGAATCTTCCACATAAAGACCAGGGAAATGTGTTTTCCAGATAACATTTCAGTTGCAATAAGGCTCGCCTCTGGCTGTGATTGAAACAATACTCTGCCTAAGCTGCACTGAGCCCACCTGTTTGTTCTTCCGTAATTGGATTCTGCTTCATTCCATTTGCCTTAATGCTGATGCATAATGCAGTGGACCGAAAGAACCAGCCACTACTAATCAGTGGACAGGGCACGGAGGAGTAACCAGACCTCCTCCTCCTCCTCCTCACCCCGTCCACCTCCCATCTTTGCACATTTTTCATGGCCTTTGTCCTTCAAAGGCCACTTCATGAGGCTGCAGAGTTGAGGGTAACCAGCAGGTGTTGATTTTACTGCCAGAAGAAAAAATAAGCTGGCCTCTCAGCCGCTTGTTAATCTAAGATAGACAGGCACTACTGTGGATGGTCTGGGCCCTGTTAAAGGAATCATCATGGAGAGTGTGTGAAGTCGTGGCCAAGAGTGGAACTTGAAACCGAGGCTTATCCGTTTACCCACGACCATATGAAATTATAGTAGCTGCCTTTAAACTCAAATACAATTAATTATCTGACATTTTTACGCGGGGAAATTATTGTGAAACCAGAAGCTATCCGATCTCCTCCAGTCTATAGTTTGCCTCTTTTTTTTGTTTTCATACTAGAGGTGTGGTTGCTGTTTGTGGTTAAAACGCTCTGTAGCTCAGAGTAGGTGCTTCATTGGTTCAACAGGGACTCCTGAGAGACATAAAGGGTTGTGATTGGTCCACTCAAAGGTGTACATTGATTAGTCGAGCAAATTGGATGCTCTTCCAGCATTCACACTATTAAAACTACATTAGTGTCACTAAAGTACTACAAGCTACTTAAATGTTGTGGATGGCATGTATAACTTTAAATCTTTCAAACAGACTAACTGATTATTTGAGTCTTGGCTCCTGAAATCACTCCTTCTGAGTGTTTGTAACTCCTGTTAAATATAAAGTAACCAGAAATCTATGCTGCCATGTGTCATCTTAGGTGTTGGTGAATGTCATGTGCCCAAGCATAGAAACGAGTATCTTTGGTGCCCTTTGCAAAACAGCATTTGCAAAATCAATCAATCAATACTTTATTAATCCCAGAGGGAAATTAGAGTTTCAGTACACACAATTCAGAGACAAAATGCATGAACATAAGTGTTAAACAATAATGTTTCTTTGGCTATCTATAAGCCAGAGGTCCTCAGAAGGCTTCTGTGATGAGATTCATAATCCCAACAACAATCAGAGACAGCTCTGGTCTAAAAAACATCTCGTCTATTATTACCGAAGTCATAATCATTTCATTTTCACCTGCCACCCCTCCTGGGGTCTGGGCCACCAACAAGGGATCTCCAGGCATCTCTGCCCAGGGCATGGACGTAGTTTTTTAAAAGAAAACTCCCACTTTTTCCAAAATAAATGTTTGTGCACGTTTTACTGTCCAAAAACATTATTACGATGTATTAAATAGACACTGGTTGAGCAGTAGGACCAAGCGGAAAACAACGTTTGTGTTGAAGCCCATTAGAACTTATTGTAAAAATCACCCCCCCCCCCACC